TTCGTTTAACTATTATACGTGATGTTAATGAAAGTGTTCCAAAAACGCGACATTAATTTCTTTGAAGACATAATATCCCAAGATCTATGTTCCATAATAATAATAAAAAAGACTAGCTTACTGGTTCGCTAGTTCTTCTGAATGACAAGTAAAGGTAATTCGAAGTAAAATAGATAAATAATGTGATGTTAATAAGAATCATAAAACTAGTTTTTTTAATATAATTGATAACACTACACTTCATCTAGTTCACACCGAAACAGTTGTTATTAAACTAATTAGTGATGTAAATAGCGTCTCAACCACTACTGTGTCTGTTGTATCCCAGCCGGCCTAATGAGCCCTGGTATTGGGCGAAAGTCCTCGTCGGCACAGGATATAACAGATTAAGGCGCTCGACTCGCAATCTGAGGGTCGCGGGTTCGAATCCCCGTCCCACCATACATGCTCGCCCTTTTAGCCGTGGGGGCGTTATAATGTAACGGTCAATCCCACTATTCGTTGGTAAAAGAGTAGCCCAAGAGTTGGCGGTGGGTGGTGATGACTAGCTGCCTTCCATCTAGTTTTACACTGCTAAATTGGGGACGGCTAACGCAGATAGCCCTCGTGTAGCTTTGCGCGAAATTCGAAACAAACAATACTTTATATAAGTTGTGAACTATTTAAGATTACACATGCAAAATAGTTTCGATTTAAAAGCATAACGTAACAGTACGTTGTATAGTGTCCCAGCTGTGTGTAAATAATCTAATTACACTTTTCAGGAAGTTATACAAGCTCAAACAGTAGATTGCACAGATTCTTTAGGCAGGTTTACCGACCATATATGATAATTATAGCAAAATAAAGATAGAATGGCATGAAGTATTAAACTTAACTGTTGTGTAATTCACCCAACAAACTCTCTTTAACACATGAGAATGTTCGCATAATTATATATATATAACATAAGTTTAGCAAATAGAAATATAACTGAGGTCATCATGCTTTGTTGCAATGATTAAAACCCACACTGAGCTCTAAATGTCCAATGGGACAGCGGTAAGTCTATTACTTACAACGCTAAAATCCGGTGTTTGATTCCCCGCAGTGGACGCAGCAGTCAGCCCGATGTGGCTTTGCTCTGGAAACAAAAAATAAATAAATAAATAGCCCCCTTACTTCGAAAAAAAAAGAATATGTGAAACTTCTAACATTGTAATATTTTTCTTCCTGTGATGTGAAGTTATTTGGGTTTTATCAAATTTTACAATCTTATTTCATTATTTTGGAAACATCGTCTACGAGCTACAGTAGAATTACATGGTTCTTTGTTTTTGTAAAGCTAAATCAGTAAAATGAAAACGCGAGAGCGAGCACACTGGTTTCGTTGCTGTAATAGATGGTTAGTTTTTGGAATGAAAATTTCCAGAATTATAGAAAATATTCTGCGACAGTTTCGAAGAGCAAAGGAGATTGGATGAGAGAAATAGAAAATTACAGTAGCGTAAAGTCCACATTTATCATATGTGATATTTAGAATGAAACTTATGAATTATTATTCCCCTCCCCCCTTATAAAAAAAAAAACTGGAATGTCTGTAGAGGTTTTATTTAACCCATTATTTGTCACTTCCTATTTTGGGAGTAATTTACAGTTACTAAAAGAAAAGAATATTAAAAACATCGATTTTAAAACTACCAGTGTTCTAATGAATCATATCGTATATTGTTTTACTTTTTCTCATAGGTGGATGGATGATCAAATGTTGGAGGCATTGACATTGAAAATACTGAAAGATCGACCAAACACATACACTTTCACCAAGGTCTTAGCTGAGAATTACCTGGTTGAACAGTGCCATAACTTACCCGTGGTCATTGTCCGGCCTTCAATAGTGACCGGAACGTGGAGAGAACCATTACTTGTGAGTTCTTAGATGAACTTGATTTAGCTATAAAAAATACAAAGATTAACCCACAATTATCGATAAAATTTTATATCGTTCTTTATTGGTGGAGGCGACATATTGCGTCATTTGAGTACATTTATGTCTTTGTCTGTATCAACACTGGGGACCCACGCAGCACTCAGTGGATTGATGGTATTGCTATTAACATTTTTTATTTGCGTGTGTGTGTGTGTATGACTCGTATGTTATTTAGGACCTTGTAACAATCAAATTCATGGATCAACCAGCTTGATGCAGATTTTTTTTTTTAAAGATGTCGGTATCGGTAATTCTAGAATTAAAAACTAGCATAGCTCTCGCTTGAGTTATATGACGAGGAAACTAAAATGCTTGTTAGTTTACCTTATCCAAATATTTGTGTGTTTTTTTTTATTAACACGTTCTGAAAGGAGTTGCACATTTTTCTTTATTTACAATTTATGTTTTAACACGACCAAGTGACAGATTATGTAAACATTTACCATTGTTGAATTTGGGTACGTTGTGAACTTCAGTTTCTTGTAGTTATAAAAAGCCCCCCAGTGGCACAGCGGTGTGTCAGCGGACTTACAACGCTAGAAACTGGGTTTCGATACCCGTGGTGGGCAGAGCACAGATAGCCCATTGCGTAGCTTTGTGCTTAATTCCAAACAAAAAAAAAGTTATAACAGATTTTATCATTTGCCCTATGTACTTCTTATTTTCGATGCTAGACTTTTACTTAACAAACAAAAGTTCACATGTTAGCACTGTATTTCAGTCTAATTGTTTTATTGGTACATAAACACGTAATTAAAAAGAAATGTATGGTTTTACCGCATTCAACATAAAGTAGATTCTCTTCCACTCGGTTGTCTTGAAGCAATTATTTCTGGTATTGTTTTTGGTTAATCTAATGTAGACATCTAAAGACGTCTAAATCGGCCCCCAGTGGCACAGCGGTATGTCTGCGGACTTCCAACGATAGAATCCGGGTTTCGATACCCGTGGTGGGCAGAGCACAGATAGCCCATTGTGTAGCTTTGTGCTTAATTACAAACAAACATCTAAATCGCATTTAACTGCAAGTGAATAATAGTGAATTCCAATTCGATGACGAGGAACCCACTTTGAGAACTAATAATGGTTGGAGACGGCTTGAATGGGTAATGAAGAAAAACTTTAATATAAGTTTAACATAACAGCAAATGTACAACGTTTCGACAAGGTTTTGTACCTGATTAT